CATGAACAGAGCAGTAGTAGAGATTGTTCGTCATCACGCATCCGTCCAAAATGCGGCGGATCGGTTTGGTTCGGTCGGTTTTGGCGGATCGGTATATCCGCTGCTCACCCCTAATGGACGCTCCTTATTTTCGCTCTCACTCCCTGGAATGACACATCGAACCACGAGTTCAACCCGCGTGGCACCATCCCTGCCGTCCAACATTCCCCTCGAGGCTCCAGGATCCTGGCGTTATTACTTTCCAAAACCCAAAAAGTCTCCCAACCCAAAAACAGCTTTCTCTCACTCACAGCTTCTTCTCTCCCCCCAACTCGGCGGCGTCGGTAGCCCACAATCCTCCTCACCTCCGCCGTAAGAGCTTTTCCGACACCTCTCTCTCTCTCTTCTCTCTCTCTGGGTGTATAAATATATATAGATTATTATATTATATATATGTTTCCTGTATACATAATATATTAAATGTTTTTGTACTAATGTTGTCTCTTTCTACTCTACGTGTAATTTACACAATCATATTGGAATAATCTCTGCTTCTCTCTCTCTGCTTCTCTCTCTAGAATGAGAGTAGAGTTTTGAAAAACACAGCTTGTCAATGGCGTTCCACGACCATCTCTCCCAAGAAATGGCACTCCAGCACTTCGCCGACCAACACCTCCGTGCCATGCTTCCTGACCAACTCAACCACTCCTCTCCGCCTGACTCCGCCGCAAAACAACCTCCCACCTGGCTCAACAGCTCCATTCTCCGCCACCACTACGCCGGCGATGGCAGCTTCCTCAACCTGCAGACTAACACCAATTCGGACTCCTCCAATTCCAACCAGTGGATGCCTCGATCCATCCACGGCGAGACCGACGACGTGCCGGAGATTGCGACGGCGATGAATCAGGAGAAGGCGAGTCGAAGGAGCGAGAGCGATGGTGAAGAGAGCAATTGGCATAGCGCCAAGTGTAAATCGGATGTGTTGTCTCATCCTCTGTACGAGCAGTTGTTATCGGCGCATGTTCAGTGTCTTCGAATAGCTACCCCGGTGGATCAGTTGCCGAGGATCGATGCGCAGCTCGCGCAATCGCAGCATGTGGTGGCCAAGTATTCGGTTCTTGGAAATGGTAATCAGCCTCTGGATGATAAGGACCTTGATCAATTCATGGTGAGGCTCTTCGCTTGGTTCATACTTGTATGTATGTCTGTATAATTTCTCTTTATGTGTTTGATTATGTAGGTTTTGTTCAAATTTGATTGTTTTGTTATCGCAGTATGATGTGATTTATTAGAACAATAGTTTGATTTTGGTTTATCAATTTTTGGAATTTTTTGGCTCTTGTTACAATTCAAATTTTGCTGGTTCTGTAAATTGTCCAATTTCTTGGGGGTTTTGTTCTTGCCATCTGTCATGTGTGTTTGTAGAGAGAGAGAGAGAGAGAGAGAGAGAAAGAAAGAGAGGGATTAGCAGAGTGTGAAAATAGGACAATTTTGGTGAAGATTCAAGTTTGAACCCAAGTTGTCATGCTTTTCATTTTGGGGGAATTTCATTTCAGTGCAAATTAAAAATATATATAATTACGTATTAATGATAAACGCTACAACATTAGAAGATAATTTTATATACTTTTTCACGGACATGAAATTATTTTTGAACTTATTTCCCTTTTTATTGTGCTTTTGATGATATTTACTGGATATAATATACAATGGAGTTTAGTTTTATTTATTTATTTATGAATGCCTATTGTTGCAGCAACAAGAGGAATCATTTTGTTTGGTAAACTAATTATTTAGACTCCGGGAGTGCTTCGGCGAATCTCTTTGTTCGTTTAATACCTAGTTCACCACTGGTCGGATGGTTTGTTGTGTTCTGGTTCCGAAAAAGAATCACCTCCAATTTCTTCAGATGAAACTTGTCTATTCATACATATGACTCATATCAAATATGATTTAGCATCAAAACTGGAGCTTAATTTATTGGGGCATAATTCTGAAGTTAAATGGTTGGAGCTAATCATTAATGAAAGTTGAAGATGATGTTTTAAGGTATACTTGGTTATTCGTAGTTCTAAATAAATGGTCTCGGAGGATTTGATTATTTCATTATAACACTTGTAAATTGTTATACATAAATTTTGATGCACCGAGGTGCAAAATTGCCTTATCAAAGATGACTCAAGCTCCCTATTTCATAAAGTTGAGTACTTTTCTAAGCTAACTTAGTTGTGATCTAAATTTCATTTTTCCAAAAATAGTAGCCAAAATCTGTTTAATGTTCAAAGAATTGAGTTGATTATTAATATTAGAATTATTTTAATCTTGCTTCACATGAAAGTTTTTGGTCCATTTCACCCTGAATGAATGATATTATCGTTGATTAAAATTTTCCTTTGAAGCTTTCTGGAATTTTCTGTATGAAAATACTGCTGCAATTTGAAAAATTAAATTAATTATTTTTCTGTAATTAATGGATATTAATGGATGACCTGTAGGAATAATGATGGTAGTTCTTTCACAAATTGCTTGATACATGGGGTTCGTTGACTTATTTCCAGTCTTCTGCATAGGGTCCTGTGTCATTTAGCTGTGAGAAATAATTTGACAGATTTCATTTGAAAACCTTGTAGGCCTTTACCATGATATTGTGTAGCAAACATATATCAATTTACTGATCAGTATGTGATCGTGAAGTTTATAAAACATCAGTGATCTTCTAAATATTTATGATCTAATTTTTTTATGACATGGTCAATTTGTCCCTTTTCATCTGAATATTTTATTTATTTCCTTTTCTTTTCCTTTCTTCCTTTTCCTTTGTTCTTTCTGATGTAGACACATTATGTTCTATTGCTTTGTTCATTCAAAGAACAATTGCAACAACACGTCCGCGTTCATGCAATGGAAGCAGTCATGGCTTGTTGGGAGCTTGAGCAATCTCTACAAAGCTTGACAGGTGATCTCTTGTTATTTTTTATTTTATTGTTGCGTTTTATATTTTATGTGTGGAGTTGTCATATACAATCACACTAGTAAATAATAAAGTTTCTACCTTCATAGGATTTACCAATTTTGTATGGTTCTATTTTGGTGGCACGAGTTGTATGTAGAGGTTATATGCATTTATAATTGGGTAAGTTGGTCAAAACATACCTTAAGTGCATCTTCAAATATATTCAATAACCATGTGAGGAAGTAACTACAGTAAAATAAATATAAATCATTTCGAATCAGTTAGAGCAAGGGCATCTTATGTTTGTTAAGAGTTTGAGAAGTTTTATGGCATTGAATTTAATTCCTATCTAAAATTTCTTTAAAGCTTAAAATATTAATTATTACACACGTAAATACAATTGTATCACATGTAATTTTTGAGCTATTAAAGTAAGTATTCGATTCATTCATGTTGCTCAAGGCTTTAGCCAAAGCACAAACCAACTTTCGTTCCAACCCATGTCTAGGAAGCTCAGACAGAAGTGTTGCCTCTGCGTTGGGTTGGGTGGAGTGCTACTAGTTCAACACGATCAAAGTTACAGTCCTAGCCTTCAACATGTTTCTGAGTTTGATACAATTGAAACTTGAAATTTCATGTTGTATTATATACACCAGACCACGTTGTATCTGATGGCACCTTCTGCCAATGTTGAAAGTATTAGTTTGCTTCATTTAAAAATTCTTTCATTTGTCGGAAAAGTAATGAATCGGCTTCAGCTTTCTTTAATTTGTTTAGGTTGTGTTTTGGAGAGGGGAATTTCAGCATAAAAGAAGAGCACGAAAGCTGCCTGTGCTTATAAATGTTATTTTGTTTTTCTGATGCACTGTTATATGATGCTTGGACTCACATTTGACAGGGAAACCCGCAAAATTTCATGGAGATAATTATATTACCGTCCTTCTATCTCTGATTGTATCTTACAATATGACTGATAAATCCCATTTTCAGTATGCTAAAACGTTGTCGCTCATTTTCCTATTGCAAAACCTGAATATATAGGTTAACTCAAGAAAGTTGGAAAGATTCTTTGATATCCATTCTAGAGTGCCTGATGAGTCTAACCTGTTTAGCAGATGAACTTATGTTGGCTTTGCCTACTTAAATAAATTTGTTTTGAAATCTGTGTCTACAATGTGGCCATCTTTTGTAACTAACCATGATGTAAACAGGTGTAGCCCCGGTTGAAGGCACAGGTGCAACAATGTCAGATGATGATGATGACCAAGCAGATAGCGACACCAACTTGTTGGATGGAAGTCTAGATGGTCCAGACACCATGGGATTCGGTCCTCTTGTCCCAACTGAAAGTGAGAGGTCCTTGATGGAACGTGTGAGGCAAGAGCTAAAGCACGAGCTGAAACAGGTAAACACGATGCTCTATCTATCAATACATTTCTTCAGTGTTTGTGCTTTCACTACAGCTAAATCAGCTTTCTGCTTCGTAGGGTTACAAGGAAAAGCTTGTGGACATCAGAGAGGAAATTCTGCGTAAAAGGCGAGCAGGAAAGCTGCCCGGTGACACCACCTCCCTCTTAAAAGCTTGGTGGCAATCGCATTCCAAGTGGCCTTATCCAACAGTAAGTGTATCATAAATTCATCTTTTGCTTTCAGTTTATTTCAAAACTCACAAACTTATATTTCCAACAAAACATTGTTTCAGGAGGAAGATAAAGCAAGATTGGTGCAGGAAACAGGTTTGCAATTGAAGCAGATTAATAATTGGTTCATCAACCAGAGGAAGAGGAACTGGCACAGTAACCCATCTTCTTCTACCACACCAAAGACCAAACGCAAAAGGTAGGCTGATCATGGTTGTGGTTTATTGTTTAAAATCTTAATTCACTTGAAATCCTTTTTTCCTGACTTTGATTTGGAAGGAAGTAATGCAGGTGAGGTCAACAGCGAGCGTTTCATATAAATAGACAAGGATGATTTCAAATCCAAAATTAACCTGGCTTTGTCTCTTCTTTTGGCTATATAATTGGTGAGAAGCTCATTGCTGAAACACATGCTTGTGGAGCCAATATGAAAGTAGAGAACCGGGATACAATGGAAGATTTTAATGAGGTTGCAAGTGGTTGACCCGAACAACGAGCAATGCCTGTTGGCAGGTATGCTTGAAAGGAACATTGATACACAAGAAGTCTGTAGCTTTATCTCATTGTAGTTGGTTAAAATGGTAAAGCATATCTATCTAAAACAGAAACCATTGAAGATGTTTGTTTTTTTGAATGTTTTGGTGGATTTGTAAATTCATGCTCTTAACCTTTTATATATGTGAATAAGAATGGCTATAGTTTGGGATATATTAGACTCTGTTCTCAGTTCTGACCAATTTGCTTCGAAAAATCATCATAAACACCTCCTCGAAATGTTTCATGATCTCAGATTCTTGGGAAATCTACTCTGGAATGTACTATTTCCTACTTACGGGAAATCTTCTTCCAATTATTTCCAAACAAAGGTGCTATTGAGATATTGGGCCCTTATGGTGTATCTCGTACACTTTCCGACAATTGACCAAGCGAATAAGTCAACTTCAAGGTGGATTTGTTTGCGAAGAGTGCGTTATGACCCGTGGCCACCTGCCTGGCGAGGGCGGCTCTTCTGTTGTGGGTAAACGGGAAGCCTGACTCTACAAACCCGAGGTTTCATGACCTCAGATTCTTGGGAAATCTACTCTAGAATGTACTATTTCCTACTTACGGGAAATCCTCTTCCAATTATCTCCAAAGTTGGATTCTTGATAGAAACTTATTTCTATATTTGTTTCATTTATTTTTATAGTTCATTTATAATCTGCCCAACTGGGGGCATTCAGAAACCCTGTTTGCTGCATCGACAAAGAGCTGTGAAGTGATCAACACCTCTGTAGTTGATCATGCTGGCCTGAAATATATCAGCAGACTTTCAGGCCGTGTTTGAATCTTCTTTTCACTTTACTTTTTCTTCAAAAATCACTCTACAAATTCAAGATTCATATTGTTTTGGTTTACTATTAAGAATTTGGGATTATACTATATTGTTTGTATTAAAGAAAGCACTAAAGAAAGAAGAATTTGGAAGCAGATAGTGACTGTTCTTCCAGAAATCATGGAACCATTCAACGGCTAACACCTCTTAATTTTGTTTTATTTTATTTTGATGGCTTACGCACTTCTTTATTTAGTTTATTTTATTTTTGTGTGCGTGTGCACATGTTTGATAAGTAGCTTGGACGCCTCGTTGGGAAACCATTTGCGTTCAAGGCATCGTGTTCTAGAACATTTTCAAAGAATAATATCAGCTCCAACCCTGTATTTGCAATTAACTTGAAAATTTCCCAGGCAGTGGTTGTAACAAGAATGGTAATGAGTTAGATGATGATAGTATCAACAGTTTCAAATCAACTAGGGTTTCATGACTTGTTCATCTTGCATTAATGTTGGCTCTCTATTTGAATGCTTTGTACCCGGGACGAAATCAGGATTTTTATTAAAGGAGGCCAAATTATACATCTTCTTCATAGATATATATATATATATATTAATGGTATTCATATGCTGTCGAACTTGTTGGATTATATACATTAAAGCTCAAGTGTAAATCATTTGAGTGGGTTAGGGCATTCAAGAAATAGTAATTTGAGCTTTGGAACACATCCAACTGTAAAATGAGTTTTAGAGGGTGCCTAGTAGTGTATGACTTCTGCTAGACATACATATAATATATATTGTATAGTTAATTATATTTTTAGTCTCCCAGCGTATTAATCTTATGTCATTTTGATCCATAATATTTAAATTGTATCTATTTCGTCCCTAATATATAGAAGTATTTGAATTTGGTTCTCAATGTTTAACTTGTGTCAATCTGATTTCTAATATATAAAAAAGTTTTTCCATTTAGTCCCTCAATGTTTGAGTTGTATTTAATGACAGAGGTAGATTAGGGGACTTCTTAATGTTTAAATTGTGTCTATTAATAGAGTTAAATTAAGGGACTAAATTGAAATATTGTTTATACATTGAGGACCAAATTGAAATACTTTTATACATTGGAGACTAAATTCACATATATTTTACAGGCAAAAAAATATAATTAACCCTATATTGTGTATCAAGAGCCCCTGATTGTACCAGCTAGTATTAGTGGAACTAGAAACTCATGCAATTACATATGAACTTACACGCGTGCACACACACAAATGAAAAAAAAAAAGAAAAAAAAAAGGTAAATAACTAACATTTTTTGAGGTTTACTTAAATTATAAATTAGCCCTATGATTCTAGAAATTACATTGTGACCCTTAAAGTTTCTAATTTCATAACAAATAGGTCTTTTTATTAATAAATCATCAAATTAATTAATAATGTTAAAATTTTATTTCAATTAATAATTTAGATAATTTTATTATTGTATAAGTGAACAGTTAGAAATTTTACTTTTTTAATTAATTCTGTTGGATAAAAAAATTTGATAAGGAGATATTTATAATTTTTCAAACCCCATAGAGTAATTTGTATTTTAAGCAAATTTCAGGAGTATATTTGCAATTTACCCTTAAAAAGAGCAATTTAGTACGCAAAACATACATAGCCTTAATTCTATTTCCACAAGCGGTAAATTATATATAAAATCCAAAAAATAAAAAATAAAAAAAAATGAGACGTGTATGATCACTATAGTAGCAACCATATATGAATTGAAGAGCAAAGAACACAATGATCACAACCCAGTCCTTCGCTCTTCACCCAAAAAAACAGTTTCATCCTCAACAATGCCATCATCAAAGTTGAGAGCATAGCTATGGGAATCATAACGAAATTGAGTCTTCCTCTTTCCAAAATACTTACCGACCCTTCGGATAAAATTCTTCCACTTAGGGCCAGCCAGCATCTCCGAAGACTCCTTTACAGGTCTCAGCATGTTCGCCAACCATGTCTCCTTGTGCTCTCCGTTATGTTGTTGCAACAGACGATTACTTTCCCATCCATTGCTTTGTAGCCTTTCGAAGCAAAAGAGCCTAAAACAAGAACACCCTCTAGCGGAGAAAGTCTCCTCGTAGTCGTCGTTGCCTTCTTGCTCATGCTCATTTATGGGTGATGAAGAACTATTCATGAAAGCTTTTTTCTCTTGAGGTTTAGCCATATGTAATGTGTTATGAGAGAGAGAGAGAGAGAGATGAGATGTGTTTGTGGGAAATTAGTGGGATGGGTAAGTTATATGGAGAAAGGGAAGGCAAGAAATTTCAAAGATGGAGAGAGAGAGAGAGAGAGAGAAGAAGCAACAGAGAAATGAAGATTCAAGAAGAATCCTCCATGTATGTATAGTTGGTAATAACAAGTTACAAATTCAAAATAATATAATAAAAAAATTTAAAATGGCATATAAAACACGGTTTGAACAACCATATATGGAAGATTTTGGGGGGTTTTGTTTATTTTATAATTTATTTAGTTTCTTGGAAGCAAATAAGTTGATGATAGTGAAATTCTAACGATGAAGTTGCAATGGAAGACTATTATGCCAGCTCATTGTTGGGTCCGCGGTTTCTTTTTAAATGAAGAATAATTCACTCGGCCGCCACGCGCCTTCCAATAGATTTCACAAACAAAATCAAAATCTACAAATCAAAACAAATCCAACTGGTAAATATGTTAATTTATTTATTTATCGAAAACTAGTAAATATGTTCGAAATCACAATTTTAAAATCTTATTATTATTCATAATATGATCACTTGTTCAAATATCAAATAATAGAGGATGGAATGTTTAATGTCAGCGTCACTGTTGGGCGGTTAATGAAGCCTAGAATCTATTTCAATTATTTGAATTGTTCATTTTTAAGATATATTGAGTAGAACATATCTGTAAAAAAATTAAGTTGATTGGATGTCGATAACTCATTCATCAAATTTCATTGTATCTAAAAAAATAAATGACTAATGTGATTTGAAATATAAAATTGAATATAAATGTAATTTAATGAAAAAATTATTGGTATTCAATTAACTTGATTGTTGTAGGTTTTTTTCTTAATCAATGTATCCTAAAAAATGAATGAATCGAATTATCGAAATAAATTCTGAAATAAACTCTATTAGCCACACAACTGTGAAGGACACAATAACCGCCCCATCTCCCAAGTAATATACCATAATACTTTAAACAAAAATTATTTAAATAATAATTCAAAACTTTTTTTATTTTTTTGTTTGGAATAGAATTTTAAAACTAGCTTGATTACTATAAAAGAACACGCTTGTTATGAATAGATCCCTAGCCCAGAACAAGATACCAAAAAGCCGTGTTTATTTAGATGAGCATGGCCTTAAAATTGAATTAATAATTCAACAAAATAAATAATTTCATGATTAATAATAAAAATTAGAATTCAAATTATTAATCTTACCTGACATAATATCCCCATATGAAATGGCTATAGGCCATGTTTGATTATTGGATTTAGTACAAAGATTCCTGGCTAAGAATTAAGGTCAAGTATGGCAACTCCAATATAATCCATCTTTTATCTTTTTTTCATCACATCACCTCTCTACTTTTCTGCACATCTTGTCGTAAAAAGACAAAAAATATACTTATTTAGGTCATCCCAAACAACTCCTAAATAACATAACACCGTATTTATTTAGATAAACATTACCCTACAATTAAATTAATAATTCAACAAAATAAATAATCTTATGTTTAGTAATGAAAATTAGGATTCAAACTAATAGTTCACCCAACATAATATTCCCCCATGAGTGACTATAAGTCATGTTTGATTATTTGATTAGGATAGATAAAATTATGAATACGAACAGGATCAAGTGAGAGATTATTGACAATATTAGATTGAAGATGTAAGATAAAATATATAATTTTTGGTACTAATATCGTGATATTAATTGATTGAGATTAAATATATAAAATTACATTAAAATTTTCATTACATAAAAAATAACTTTGTTGCTTTTTTTTTTCTTTTTTTTTTTTTTTTTTTTTTTTTTTTTTTTGTAAACTACGGGCAAAGTACTATTTTCACCTTCAATCTGTGGGATTGAATTAGCAATCTCAACCTCCTCATAGGAATGCTAATCCTACCTAGGAGGGAATTGGTAATCTCGTGGGATTAATTAACAGTCCTATGACATTTTAGCACAACCAAACATGAATTTAAAGGCGCCTACATATTATTAGTCCAATCCCATCTTCCAAGTGGCCTACAAACAAGGCTTTGAATTCCCAAGAGGTGGTGGGATACAAAATGGCAGACTAAAGAGCGTTTCAGACTAATTGACTAAATTACAAAATTACTAAAATTTTATCAATGACTTTATAATCCTAAGTCAATCCAAATATACATGATACATAATCCAAAAGAACTGATAATCTCGGGATTAATAGTACTAAAATTGGTAATTTCATTTAATCCACAAACACGACCCAACTTCTTTTATCCATCCCACAGGGAAAACTTTGATGCATCAAATAGGTTGGTAATTTACAGAGCGGCAAGCATTTTATCATAAACAAGTCATTTTAAAAAATAAAAAAAATAAAAACTGGAATTTCTATTCCAAACCGTAGACTGTTTCTTCTCGATAACTTAGCAAAACATTTTCGTTCCTATTTGTTGACATGCAGAGCATGCAACGAAGGTGGGTAACACAAAAATAGAGACATTACAGGGAAACAAAAACAACTGCTTAAAATCAACTTTTAACCTGAGGCAGCGTGGAGGGAACTTGCTGCTGAGCTTGTGCTTTTGGAGGAATCTTAGATGCCATAGCACGTAACCCATTTGCAATCTCAGTGAAGCTTGGCCTCTCTTGTGGCTCCGACGACCAACATCTCTCCATCAGTGCTCTCCATTCTGAGTCACACGATTCGGGCACAGGTGGTCGCAATGTATTGCTCACAATGCCACCTGTTGGGGTATATAATTAGAGTATATGATCTATTGCTTAAACCTGAGTCAAGTAAAGTAAATGAAATGAATTGGGTTTGGAAATTGCTTTTTAGCAGCTTTTTTGAACCTTGTTTTTCCGTTAACTTTTCATTTTTAAGTTCTACTATACTAGACAGGCTTGAAAATTCTACAAAACAAGACCTTCAACAAAAAGAAAAAAAAGTCCACTAAATAGTCCCCAAAAAAAACCCCCCCCCCCCCCAAAAAAAAAAAAATTTAAAGTATACTCTTTTTTTATTATTATTTTGAATTACTTCAATTTTTAAAAAATCTTAAAAACTAAAAAAAAAAAATTCACTGAAGACAAGTTTTGAAAACAAATGTGCCTTAATTAGCTGTTGCCAAATAGAGAATACGGGTAGATGTGGAAAATTACCAATAATTGCCCCATAATGCAAGTCAGCATATGGTTCTTCTCCGGTAAGAAGTTCCCACAGCACAATCCCAAATGAGAAAACATCAACCTGAAATGCAAGAACAAGCATAACATAAACCTCCAAGTCTAGAGAAAGCATGCATGAGAGAGAGAGAGAGAGAGAGGATTAACCTTCTCAGACACGAGGCTACTGCTTCCATTCAGAAGCTCTGGTGCCATCCAAGGAAGAGTTCCCCGCACACCACCTGAGATTAGTGTCTGACATTTCACCTTTGACAGCCCCAAATCACCAACCTACACAAGAGGCGAGAACCTGTCAATCGATGATACTACACACAACAGGAATAGGAATGAGTATAATTTGAAATAGTCATTTGCTAAGAAAAAAACATGTTGATATTATCATTTTAAATCACCATGAGCGTAAATGACATGAGAATGAATATGTATTGACAATGGCCCCTGCAATAATCTGCAGGACATATCTCCTTAAGGCACTAAGTTCCTTCTTATTCCATATGAAAGGTTGGTTGGATTTAATTTGGGAATTTGACAAAAGCTCCTGAGGTGTGCAGACATCCTCATTCTGAATATTTTACATCAAAAATTATTTTCACCCCAAAAAAGAGAGAACCATATATAAAAAAAAAAGTGTTTTTTTTTTTCTCTTTTCATGTTTTTCACCAAATTAGTTTTTGAATTTCTTTTTAGAAAACAAATTCTGAAAAACTAATCTCAACATTGATGCCACTAGAATTTCATTTGGAACAGAAGCCACATGAAATGGTGAAAATAAGTTAGCAGACACAACCAAAAATTATTTGTGCAATATCAAATTGAAGAACCATTACATCCAACTTAAATTGTTCTAGAAAGAGTCAGATATACTGAGCTATGCAACTTCTGCAATCAGTACATATGACACAAAAATGTCAGCAAACATGGATAATATCTTGAGTGGCATGCCAAATCTCGCAAGTATCAAAATGCTTCTTCTGTCTCACATACAACAGATTGAAACCTAGCCATATAGAGCTTGTATAAGATGAAATATCAACATCCAAATACGTAGTGAACCATGCATTACCACCACCATCATCATTAACATCCAACAGATAGCGGTCCAATTTGATGTTGTATGAGGAGGAGTTAGAACACAGGTGTGGATTAAGTGAAAAAGTAGAGTGAATGAGAAAGATAAAAATTTGGAACTGCTAATGAAAAGGGATAGGATAAATAGTTAAGGAATTAAATGGGCTTTTGGGGATAGAGGGGCTTTGAATCCTCACAATTTAGTATTCTCAAATCCATTACCTAAGATAATGCAAACACAGACATGGTTTGATATGGCCATGCTGAAGCAAAAAATTATGAAAAAGGTTTAAGATAGTTAGGACAGACATAAGATACATGGGAAATAACTATGAAGAAGTTAAACCAAAATAAGATACATGAGAAATAGCTATACCACAACAACCCTCCCATTAAGGCTGGCAATTGGCATATTAATTGTTTATTCAATGCATTCACATCTCACCTACTCAAGTTCTATTGTAGAATTAAGGGCCAAAGAAGCTTACTTGATATTTTACAGGGGGCAATTTGCAAAAAATGAAAAGTTTAATCCCGGAAATTTTTATGGGTAAATATTACAGGCCAAAAGAATGGAGAAGAGACCATTGCCTTTGATTGATGAGATGAAGCAATACTGACGAAGCTGGCTTTCGCACATTAGTGGTCCCGCCTTCCTTTCTTCCCTTTGTTAGTTTATGGAAACACTCAAGGTATACTCAGCCTAACCCTTAAAGCAATTATTTTGCCCAGTTGATAGTGATTAGGTGGCAATTATGCAATAGGACAAACAGCAAATCACTAGTTTGGTTATTCCTCTTCCATTATCTGCTATATTCTTTAGTTGAGGGTGGTCCCATCCTGTACAGTAGCATCCACAATAATTTATATTATTACTGTTTGCTTTTCATACATTGTATTGCAATCCTTACATTATCACAGAAAAAATTATCTTCTTTGTATTTTTCCTTTCCTCGGGGTAAAGTGGAAGCATTCAGGGATGAAGCCGGAGAAACAACAAAATTTGTGATCATACAGTTCGATTAATTTATTGGAGAGATCATTCTCATTGTCCAGTACCAGAGCCCCAAACAGGTAAATGGCCTGTAACTTCATGTAGTTATCCTAGCAGAGTACTTATGATTTATTAACCAAATAAGAGACTGCTTTAACCCAGGTGGCTCTCAGTAAACAGGTTCTAAAATGTCCAAAACCAAAATTACTATTTAGAAGTAGAATAGATAGCTCTTTAAGATGCTTCTGCAGGTGATAAAATCTAAATCAATATTTAGTGTGATAAGAACTCAATCGGACAGCTAATTTTGGAACAACAAAATTATCGACGTTAACTAATTTTTAACAATTTCTAAACATTTTCATGGCCAACAAACCTTCTCTACTGCTTGCAACAATCTAAAAATGTTTCCTCCTATTAAATCTCATGATACCAAACTTTAGGTTTTCATTCATTCCCCACCCCCCTTCCAAAAGAGCATCTTTTTTGCAGCACTAGAACAAAATTTATGGCATAATAAATATTTGATGGCAGAACTTCCAAGATCTTCATACTGTAATCCTATTTCCAGCAATCAAATTAAGAAAATGGTCAAAGTGGCCCCTAAAATCTGATTAATTGGAAAACTTGCCCCAAATTCCTGCAATTGTTACTCATATTGCATGCTTACAAGAATTCCTGAAATTGTTGCTTATATTGCATACTTACAACTTAAAACAACAATGATAAGGGTAGCTTACCAAATAGGAGTAATAAAATATATGAATAAAGTATGTTCAACACAATCAATGCACCACTTTGAAATGTAAAGGAACCAAAAGCCTGCTTGCTAACCTTGCATATCGGCCGGTGAGGATCCCGAAGATTGACAAGCAAGTTGTCACTTTTCAAGTCGAAGTGTACTATATTCTTTCCATGCAAGTACTCCATTCCAAAGGCCACATCCATAGCAATCAATAGTCGCTTACGTTTATCAAGATTCCTGATAATTAGTCATTCATCAATTCTTTCACACTTTGCACAATGATACCTATGATGTATATCTAGTAACAAACTAGGCACTAAAAAGCTACGAGTATTCAAAAGAACCAAAACAATCACATTTTACCTCTCATTCTTCTGTAAAGCATTTCTTAGAGAACCATTAACCATATATTCTGTCACAGTTGCCACTGAACCACCAGGACCATCAAGCACAACACCATAGAAGGCTACCACATTTGGATGGTGCAAGTCAGCAAGATTGATTGCCTCATTCCAGAAGTCATCTCTCTAATAAAACACAAAATACTACTAGTTATAAATAAGCAAACAAAAAACTACAGAAGATCAATGCAATTGGAGCTTTTTGTGTGCAATTAAAGGACACACAAACCATGCGTTCTTGTTCTGAAGGTTTCCCAGCAAAACACCTATCATTGATCCGTTTGATTGCAACATCAGTGCCCCTCCACTTTCCATGATAAACAGTACCAAAGGTGCCAGAACCCAATTCTCGAAGCTCCTCAAGGTCACTGTTCTTTATAATCTGACAAATAAAAAAGGGCTAGATTTTTAGGCCAATGAAAGACTACAAGTTACAGAATGGGAAACATACTAATCTTTGACCTGTAGGCGACCAATCCCATCTGATATAGGAAACACAAGATTTGTCTTTTCTGGTAATTTGGGCTTGATGTCCTGAATATGAACAATGCTGAATCAGAAAGTGCAACTAGAAAATGCACTATACAAATGGAAGGGAAACCCAAAAAAACAAACAAAAACAAATATGCAGTAATTTAAGGACCTCAAAGTCATCTTTGTGCAATTCAACATCAGTATCTTGAACTTCACTGTCTTGATTGGATTCAGGAAAGGTTTCATTCGTCTCGTGCATCGCTATGTCAGGATTAGAAGGCATCGATGACTGAAGAACAGAAGCAGCTACACCCTCAGCAACAGCCTGAAGTTCTTGCTTGATCAGTTTCCTCTGCCTGAACCTTCAACAGCTGAAGAAGAAAGCAATAAACGATAATTCCAAAAATGTAATGAAAAAGCAAAAAAGGGACTACAAAAAATTAGAAAAACCCTGACCTTGTGTGGTCCTAATTTGCTCTGAACCAAAATCCATGTTTGTACTGACAGCAGGCTGGTAAACTCCATCCTCCAACGGCACTTCTTCAGTTGAGTCCCCCCTATTTCCCATAGGTAATTCACCAACATTTCCCAAATGATTTTCACCAAAAAAATCCGTTGCACCAAAACCTGCCTTTCTTATTGCAATTTTGTTAGGTATGGGAGGAGGGAAGTGATCATGTTGCAAATTCCAAGGATCTTGGTTGCTGAAAAGTGAGTTTGATATATTTTGTGTATCCCCAACCCAGTTAGATGGAGAGATAGAAGATGGCGTGTTCCCATTAAATGCAACAGTATCCACATCACCAGGTGGCACCTTAGGCTGGAATCGTGAAGGATTATCTTTCCATTCACCAACAGGTGGAATTCTTTCAGTTGTATGGGCTGAATCAACACCAGAAAATGCAGGTGTACCATAAGAACCTTCATCAGGAGCCAAAAAATTAATTCCCAGCTTTGACTGTTGATATGTAGGCTTACCCAAAAGAGGTGGTTGTGCCACTTCATACGACTCCAGTGGTCGAAAATTTTGATTTTTGTCCACCACCATTCTCGGTTTGCTACTGGTATTCACTAGACACGGCTCCCTCCCAGCAATCTGCTGTGGTCTGGCATCTAAAATGTCTTCCTTCCAAAGATTATCACTTGTTAACTTACTCTGCTCATTATTAGCAAAAGCTTCAGTGGGAGATATCCAGAGACTTTCCATCATCCCATCTATTTGTTTCACATGGTCATATGACTCTACAGTATCTTCTTTAGGAGCAACAACAGAAAGTTTACTAGAATAGTCAACAGGTTTGTTCATTGAGACCTCTGGTTGAACATGGTATTGGGGTGGCACTGCAAACTGCTGGGCAGCACTCTCATGGCATGGCTGAGGAGGGGTAGACATGGCTGCACCATATGGAGATTGTATGCCAGCTGGCCCTCCCACACCCTGGGGAAATGATACTTTGGGAAGATCAGGATTTTCTGTTTTTTGTAAAATTATTCTATCACTTTCATACTGTCGCACAACATTTTGTGAGAGCCCAGCTACCTCGAATGGAGGTTTCCTAGCTTCATGATCTATAGGACTCAAAAAATTTTGTCGTGCCCCAATTCCTCCTTGTTCAACTTCCCCCAGGGCTCCAGTTACCACAGCTCTGTTCATTGGTGGGGCTCCCATTTTGTCCTCCAATTGGAGACTATGAAATACAGGGTTCAAGTCAGATGCAGGGCTTACAGGGCTCTCTCTTTGGTCCTGTACAATTGTATCCGAATGTGCATGAGGTAATTCTTTCTCACACATATAACAGTCCTTGAATCTTGGGATTTTCTCCGGAACCATTACCTGTTGTTGAGGTACCCATCCCTCGGAGAAAACCACCTGCTCTGGCTGTGGAACCTGATTCCATCCATAAACTCCACCCACCATTGCAGGTGGGGCCTGAGCTTGATATGCATTGAGGATTTGGTCGCCAGGAAGTTGGACAACTCTCCCACCATATGTGCTTTCATCAGGATGATGCTCCAACCGAATTGGTTGGTGTTGCACCATGGGCAGAACCATATTCGGTTTCATGTTGGCATGAGACGAAGTCATTGTCATGTGTACTGCAGGGACAAACTGGTGAGGGGAAACACCCGCAGCATTATCATGGAACTGCGGACGAGTGAACACAGGCCCAATAGTCCCCATTAGATGAGTTGGGAATCCCATCTGGGAAGGAACCTGTACATAATCTGCACGGTTCCACGTTTCTTGCTGAGGATGCATGTAAGCTATAGGAGGATGAAAATTGACTCCAGGTTGCTGCAATTCAACTCCAATTTGTTGCTGTGGTATACTGGCAGGCACAGATCTCTCTAGCTCATACTCAGGCTGAGATGACAAACTTTGTGGGGGACCTGACATAACAATACCCAATGGAGTACTAGAAGCTTCAGCATAAATTGAAGGGCTAGGATCCATACACACAAATCTGGGAGCAGGCTCTTGAGAGGTAGTAGAATTGGATTTAGGTGATATTATACCAGTAGATGGGGGCCCGATAACATCCCCTTTACCATGGCTTGAGTTATCAATAGCCTCAGTTCCACTCAAATCTGAATTCTGTGTGGAAGCTGCGCTTGCTATGCTCTCCTTTCTCATGATACCATCATCAACTCCCTCAGTAATGCCATTCACGGCCTCAACATATCTCTGCCCACTATCTTGTTCGCCAAATTGCACCATTCCAGAACAATCAAGCTCTGAAGCTGAAAATAAAAACACCCTTAACTTAGCCAACCCATCAGAAGACCTTTCAACCAACTTCTCATACTCATCCATCATATTCTCAAGATCATCGGGGCACGAAACTGATACAAGTGCGTCAAGATCTTCCTCAGGCAATTGGTACTTGATAACCACATTTTGGCCACAAGCATCGACCATCTTCTGAACTAATTCATTGAAGTTTACGTCTCTTCTAACACTAATGATTCTAGTCTGCCCTCCAACATATCTCAACATCCCATCACTTGGCCTCGGAAGAATCTTCCCCCCAAAACTACACAGAAACTTAACTTTCTTCCCTGAAACTGAATCATCTCCACCTTCATCACTAGCCTGATCCGAGACATTGCTGCCAACCATTGTCCCAAAATTGGGATTTTGAGAATACCCAGGTGTCAAATTAGCACCAGGAGAAGCAACCATTGCTGTGGGCATCCGAGGGCACCAACCAGTCACCCCTGGGACTGCATTACTGTACGCTAAACCTACAAACCCGGCATCAGGCACGGCTGCCGGGTAATAAACCGGGATTGCCCCAGGGCTACCAGCATCGTGAGGCGGGTTAACGTAAAAACCCTCAATATTCCTACCGGATGTGGCAACAGGAGAAACGCGAGTCTCCTCAGGCATTGTTTGAGCTATATTCAGTGGCCGCAAATCTTTATTAAGCATTGTGTTCTGATACATATATCTAATACATATGTATATAAAACCTAGTGAAAATCAATACAACCGAGAAAGCTAGGGTTTTTATTTTCCACGGTTCAACATTTAAGCTCAGAAGTCCTAATTCGAATTAACCCTAGCCTGATTGAAACGAAACAGAAACAGAAACAGAAACAGAAACAGAAATATAGAAATTCCCAATATATCAAGACGATATACAGAGTAAATAGATATAGATAAGTACCAGATTCGAACAACACAGAGAGAGCGAAAGAGAGAGAAAGAGAAGACGAAGAAGAAGATGATGAAGAAATAGGCAGTGGAAATGAGTCGGTGCAAATCGAAAGGCGTGGCGATTCAGCCGGGGTGGTGATTCCTTATCTCTCTCTAACTCCTCCTCTTCTGTCTCTTTTTTCTCTCTCTTTGTCTCTGTCCGGGTTGTTTTTGTTTTCAAATTTGTTTTCTCTGCAAATTTTCTCGGGGGTAATAATGTCAGCTAACGAGAGGAAAGGGACACTTGTTTTTGTTGGCTTTCATCAAATATGGAGCTCAGAGAGAGAGAGAGAGAGAGATTGGGAGAGAGATTTCTTAGGTTTTAAGGAAGAGAGAGAGGAGAGGTAGGACGGGGCACGTGGAAAGCTTCATGAAAATTTGGGAACTTTGGTCACGTTATTTTTTAATTATATTTTATATTTTTTTTTTTAAATAAATTTTAATCAACTTTCCAAAAACAATTTAGAGCATGTCTAATGGTTGTTACTATAATGCTATTATTATTACTATAATTTGATAATGAATAGTGTTATTTTGTCAAATTATAGCAATAGTGTTCTAATGATCATTTGTTATTTTCGCAAATATCAACCAACTTTCTCTCCAAGTTTGTAAGTATTGTTTGGATATAGATTTTTTTTGTAATTTTATTTTTATTTATTTTTTGTTGACATTTTTTTCATTGTTTGTAAAAAAATTATATATTTATGTTACTCCCAACTAAACAAATATGAAAAATTAAAAATTTGGAAAAAAAATAAATATAATTTATCTCACCCAAAAACATATCACTACATATTTAATAAATTATACATTGCAAAAATAATATAACATTCTGTTGTAGAAAATACTGAAAAAAAAAAAATAAATAAAATTTCATTACAAAATAAAAAAATGACATTACAGATAAAGACTAACAATTACATTAAAAAATAAATGACATTGCGAAATTTAAAAATACATTATTTCGTAATTATTCATCAAGAGGCAGGGGAAATAGTAATTTGGGCTACTGACATTTGAGGACCACTTGGCAAAAATTTCATTTTTTCGCATTGTATAATACGCTTTCATTTGAGGGTCCAAATAAAAAATGGCCGTAGTCATTATCATATGTTCTTCCTTTTTCATCTCATGTTTTTGTCTTCTAATCTCAAAATCATATTTTTTCATCTCAAATTCTTTCAGCTCCTGCAGTGCTTGAATCCTTTTTTCTTCTCTTTCATCTTTTTTTCTTTTCCTTCTCAGTAAGGTATTAGTTAAATGTCTCCAATTATATGTTCATTTTTTGGACTGTAGCTTGAACGACTTCATTTCTTCGAATAATTCTTTTGCATATTTCCTACCCATAGGCCTTTTATCCCTTGCAGAGACACTGCCCTCACCAATAGTTGGATTTTATCAACACTTGGACTGGTGTCATCTTCAAGAGAAATGCAGTTATCCATAGGGGAATCGGGGGTTAAATTAGAGAAAAACGGTGTATGTATCCCTGACTTCACCGTGTTCGTAAGAGTTACATCTTACCACCTGATATTGTTTTGTAAGATTGGCCAACAATGTTCAAAAGCAAAATGTTTGTTTTTATCTTGATGGTATAACAGTTTTGCTTGAAGCATCTATATCAATAAAATATTAAATTAATTAATTAGTTAATTTTTATATAAGACAAAAAATAAAAAATAAAAACTAACATAATAAATGAGAATGAAATCTTACTATATCAACTTATGACGCCCCACTTAGATGTAGATTTTCGACTTCCGCTAAACACCACAAAATTTGTTACAATATTTTATGATTACATCCCATCGAGATGAGATAGACACTTGTGTTCTTGAGTGATCATTCTGCAATGAACAATAATTTTCAAAAACCCTTCTCCAAAAATGAGTATGAAATTGCGAATTCCTAACAATTGAATCTTTAGTAATGTGACACCAAACTCTACAAATTGACACATCTTCTTAAGTAGTGAATAATTTTCATCTTTTTGCTTTTAATGAACCTTCCATACTGATTGTGTGAAAAATAGAAAAAATATATATAATTGAAAAAAAATTGTTGCTGTGAACTCAAATTGGTGAAACAAGATATATGTATTTATACTACTCAAATTGAAAGAAAAATAGCTGTTTAATTATAGTTGTTGGTGTCTTGCCTGTTTAGAAAAATAGCTGTTTTTTTACTTTTAGATTCAAATTGAGTCGTTAGGCTCATATTACACATTCCAAGACACTATCTCTCATTTCCAACGGCTGAGATCTCTGTATCTCATTTCCAATGGTGAGATCTTTATTTCTAGAATCATCTTCAACTCTCTATCTCTTTTCTTTATAATCATCTTCTTCTCTCTATTCTTTACATACTCTCAATCTCTCTTCTCTCTCTATATCTCTATTCTTTATAAACATCTTCCTCTCTCAAACTGATTGGTCGTCCTTCCCACAGATATATGCATCTCTCTGCTCTTCGTCTCTCTCTACCTCCACCTCTCGCTTTATCTCACTCCTCTCCAAATCTATCCCTTACTGTTGTTTCCCTCCCCCGCTCACTATCGTCTACCAGATCTGCCTCCAAACGCCAACTTACCCTCTAAATCGATCATCCATGTCTCCAAATCTCACAAACCTACCTCCAAATCTATCTTTCTCCATCTCCCTCTCACTGCCGTTTACCCCTAAATCTATTCCTCTCCAAATCTATCTATCCTTTTCCTTTTCCATTTCCTTCTCACTGTCGTCTTCTTCTCCCTCTCACTGTTGTCTGCCAGATCTGTCTCCAAACGCCAACTTACCCTCTAAATCGATCGTCCATGTCCCCAAATCTCACAAACCCACCTCCAAATCTATCCCTCCTCATCTCCTTCTCACTGTCGTCTACCCCTATCCCTCTGTTTCTCTCACTGTATCATCTGTATCAAAGAACACAAAGAAGATCTGGTAGTTCTATCATATGTAGAATCATCTGTATCAAAAAACCCAAAGAAAATCAATTGTCTCTCTTCTCCCTTTCACTATCAGGCATTTTTTTTTTTACTTCACTGTGTTGATTTTCTATTTTTTTTAAAAAAAAAAATTTGTTCTCTTCAAAGTTGAAACTGAAATTTGGAAATTTGGTGATTCTATATTTGGAAATTGTTGATTCTATGTTTGGAAATTTGGGACTTGATGATTATGTGTTTTAAAATTTTAAATTGTTGATTTTCTGCTTATGTGTTTGGAAATTGATTCTATACTACTCAATTTGATATGTTGAAATTTGTGTATTTTTTGGTGAATATTGAAACTGTGTTTGGAAAAGATGATAAAAAAGGAAGAGAGGGAGGGAGGGAGGGAACGGTTGGTTGAAACTAACTTGGCAGCAGCTTATGCCATATTTGACATAAGCTTTGGCATTTACCAAAGATAGCAGCTGCTAAAACTTGCTATTGGAGGTGCTATTCTATCACTGCTGCCAAAATTTAGCAATAGCAACTCCAATGGCACACCATTGGAGATGCGAGAGGGTAATTTTTGGGAAAAATTGGGCCGAGCTGAGAGTTGGGCATTAAGGCCCAAAACGCGAAGGATTACGTAAAAAGGCCGTGCTGAATACTCTGGCCCAGAAGGACAAAGTTACTCCGGCCTTGGGAAGACAAAGCTACTTCGGCCCAAGGAGGCAAAATTACTCCGGCTCAAGAAGAGATAGTTACTTCGGCCCAAGGAAGAGTAAAATTACTCCGGTCTGGAGGCAACTCACAGTTAGGCCGGTCTCAGAGTTAGTCCGGTCGTGACTTACATTGGTTAGGTCGGTCAGAACTTGTTACTTGGAAGTTTGATCTAAGCGCATCAAGGTCGAACAGGGCAGCCGAAGTAAAGAGTTGGAGGAGAAGACCGAGCTAAGGATAGTTCGGCCTTCTGTGGCTCGGTATAGCCAAGTTTACTCCGGTCAAAAGGAAGTTCGGCCATAAAGAAAACCATCCCACTTGGTTTGAGCAGTGGGGGAGGGTGTAAAAGGATAAGCATTATCCTCAGGAGAATGAATCCTAGGAGGACTCTGCATGGAGAAGTACAAGTCCTACTAGGATTGTGCCATACGAAACTTATAAAAGCTCACAAGCAACACCTTGGAGGAGGTAATTGAACACAATCTTTCTGAGAACTTAGAGCTTTGTCTATTTGTCAAGCTTACTGACTTAGGCATCGGAGAGGTTTCCGGCACACACCCGCCGGCTAGCTCACGTTTGTGTTTTCAGGTGACAAAGCGACGTCGTACGGAGGAGCGTGGACTTGGTCAACAGGATTATACGAGGAGAATTATTTCCTCCCCGTACACTATTACTTGGTGTGATTTTGAGATTTTGTTTGCGGTGAAATTTTATAAGAAAAAACATTGGGAACTCTAATTGTGGAGTTCTAAAAAGTTCTAATGGTGTGTGGGTCTCATGATGATGTGATGATTGTGTCTTGTATTTTTTTGTTTTTTTTTTTTCATTGCCAAGTTATTAGAGTTTTGTTTAGAACTTCAAAATTAGAGGGATGTATCATTTTTGATTTTATAATATTGTGCACAAATGTAATCACAAAAAAAATTATAAGATGCTTTATTATGATTTTTTGTGTAAATGTTAATCTCATCATGCATAACTTATTTTTTGAATCATAAATTATTATAATTCTATTAAAATATTATGAAACATTTTATTATAAAAATATGTAACGACCACGTTTGATTGTCTCACTATTTATGGATTGAAAGTGGAAAGAACATGTGGGATCGATGGAAAATGCTGAGCAATAAAATAAAAAAAATTGCAAATTAAATTGGTCTAGATTAATTCGGTAGGCTTGATTTGATTTTTTTAATTTGTGATGCGGTCCTAATTGAAAAATTAGGAAACCGATCTCCATGGATTAATTATGGATTTAGGTTAATGGTTTCAGATTTAAACCAAACTGGACCGTATAACTTAAACTATGTATGATTATTTATATGTTTATTTAAGTTAATGGTGGAACAATATGCATAGTTATGTTTTAAAAATTTGTGTTTTGAGAAATTATGACAGATTAATGTTAAACAATATTTGTATAATGTTATATTTTTACGTAACTGGTGAATATTATTAAAGTAGTTTGTTTGATGGGAAAATTTCTATTATTTTTATAATTTATGATGAGTTGAATTTTTTTTAAATGTTATATGATTTTTTCGTGTAAACAGATTATGTGAAACCGTAGTTTCAAATCGAACTGAATTGTGTTTAAATGGTTTGGTTCTGATTAGTTCCATGATTTTAATTATTTGGTAT